GGCGTCATTACCAGGCGGGGCCGGGTCTTTTGAACTTCAAGGCGTTTGGTGTCATGGGGTGATGTCTGTGATTAAGATTAAATAAATACATAATATTTCTTTTGTGATAGTCTTAAGAGGGGCAGGAACTAAAAAACCAAAGGAAACTAAATAACAGCCATTTGAAAAATGTCTATCGTATAATAGTACACGTGTTCTATTTACTTCAGTGGACATTAAAAAAAATATTGGTAGGTATCTGTATGTTTTCTAGTAAAATTTCGAGGTAAGTTTGTGTTCTTTTTCTATCGAGAAGATTTTTGGGAATCGTGTTTTCACACCGTATAGTAATAAATGAGAGAGGTTTAAAAATATTATTTTTATGATACCAAAACACGACGGGACAAACAAGCCGCGTGACTGGTGGTAAGTGATACGCCTGTCCATAGCATTTGCATTTGCCACTGAGAGCTTTAAATCGTAAAGATCTGATAGGCACTGCCACGCCCGTCACCCTGAGACATAAGTTGACACGTCCCATATGCCTGTGATTCCAACAAAAGTATCTACAAAAGAAATTTTCGATAACTTATTTAGAGAGTTGTAAAACTTAATGTAAAAAATTAATGTAGGGACTGAAAGACATGAAAAGAACGATGATTTTTTATTTCCATCATCCTGTTTTTTCACCCCCGATTCAACTTGCACAGCCGAGGAAAATACCTGTTGCAAGTGTTGATTTTGTCTTACACAACAATCACGCACAGTATAAAACGTGTTCTTTGCATTCGTAAGTTTACTTGCGGTGAAGCTCGGCCGTGTAGACGGGCATTTAGTTTGTCTAATTGACGTCATTCCGGCCCGCAGATGAGCACATAGCAAGCTTTTTTATAGCAAAAAAAATGTAACAAATGTACGTGAAACTACATAAATTGGCTTGGCAAAGAAGTACGTGCGGTATCAAAGTAGGTATGAACGAAATATCAAACTACAATGTATTGTAGTTTGATATTGTAGTTTTGATCACTGTAATGTATTGGCCATCTTGATCTACAAACTTTTGCCATCTTTCGGGAAATTTTAGAATTCCCCTTTTTTAAAAAATCAAGCCTATGCTTAGAAAATACATCTCTAAGTCTACATCATGCAGTGTACATCTTGATGATTACTTTGCCTTCGTTATAAAAATCGTGTCGATTCAATGAATTTTGCAAACCTGAAGGGCCTGTGTTGTCTGAATTCCTTTATAATTTTATTAACCAGGTGATGTACAAAGAAATACGAAGTAGCGATCGACGATCGTGATTTGACATAAGTACTTATTTGTGGATACCTTACTCCGAAACGTCAAACGACAGCCATCGTATAGAATTTTAACATCACTTGCATCGTAAAACTGACTTCCTATGTATGAGCTTCGTTGCAGACGCAGACGAATCGTATTTCGTGGTAGACCTCCAGTTCCGGACGTTTTTCATGAATTATAAACTTAACATTTTCTCGCCTATTCTTAGAACGCGCTAAAATATTATTTTTTAAATTACCATAGACTATTCTGTTTTTGATCTAACGACACGCATGTACCGGACGTACCAAGATCCTATAATAGTTTAAATTTTAAGGACAATTTTTTGACCACACGAATATTTGTAACAAACACCAACATCAGCGCCATCCCAGTGTAAATGCAATTTCTAAGCCTTTATAATATGAATGGTGCTTACGAATTTTTTTTGCACAACATGCGGGTTATTCCGCGTGATGTCATTCGGCTTGATGAACGCGTCGAAGGGCATTGGCGCTCGCCACGGCATCATAGTGTGAACGAAGTTTCCGGGAGGCGTCGGAAGTCTTTTGCGCTCTGGTTTATGTTTGTAGACAGTTTTGATCTAAGAGAGAGAATCATAAAGTTGTATACTCATTTGTTTCATTTGGCGTATGAATTAGGCTATAATCCGGCACGCTCTGGCGCAAGGCGGGTTGGGATTTCACACATTTCACAGGGTTGTGAACTTTCTTCGATCAGCTCCGATCAGCCTTCGTCACGATGTTTTTCCTTCGTCGATAAGCTCATGGCAAATTTCAAATTAAATTCCGCACATAAATTCCGAGAAACTCATAGGTGCAAGCTCGGATTCCTACCCACGACCTCTGCTTAACAGGCGGTGGGTCAAACTATTAGGACGCATTTAATCGACACGAATTTCATCGCGGTCACGCCGCGCGGCCGCCTCTATTTATTTAGCTTTTACGTTTTAACTTAAATGAGCATCTCGGACGCTGGCTTGTCTTTGGTCTACGCGGCGACCGCGCGGCGTCCGGTCGGCGTCCGCTCGGCTTCCGCTCGGCTTGCACGCGGCGACCGCGCGGTTGTATTATACGGAGGAATTTAAATGTTGTTGCCTAGTAAATAGAATTCATATTCGCCATTAGGCTTAAAATTTTCTGCCACAATATGAATTGTGGCAGAAAATTTTGGCTCGTACCTCGTACAATTGACCACAATATTTCATATATTCATCTTAACTACGCAATACATTCTCAGTTTGATCGGAAAATGACGTTCGTGGCCTTTCTCCGAAAGCGGCTTCCCACGGTCCGTGATCGATCACACACACGCCCGTAATTACGTGCGAGCACGGACGCCGCTTTTGCCCACGGGCAGCGTTGGCGCGAGCTCGCGTGGCGTGGCCTGTGAAACCACAGGCCCTGGGAAGCAGGTTTACATCGTAATCGAATGAATAACAACAGAACGCATATGAAACAACTTAACATCATGGTATAATAAGAGCAAGTAGCAACCCTGTTCCATGCGTAAATGCCTATGCGTAAATGACTATTGTTCAAACTACCACAAACACAACAGTAAATACATCTATTATTTGATGTTATTATTTAACGAGCGACAGCGTCTATTCTATTAATGACGCGTGCGGCGATTCGCGAGATTATGAGAATCGACTCCTTTACACACTCTATCGCGCGTGATCAACACGCTCGATTCGCGCAATTGTGCGCGATTACCTGTTCGAAGTTTTTTCAGCTAACGTTCTTTCGCGCACGATTGCTCGTGTTCGTTATTATTACTACGGAAGAGCGTACGTGCAAAAGACAACCTTGGAAACAGATCGCGCGGTCTTTCCCTTTTCCTTCCAACGTCTTTACACGCGTGCTCAATCGCGCGGGATAGTGTCTGTGTAGAGCCCGCTATTGCGCGAGTCCGTACACGACATGCGGAGGGCGTGAACACAAAGTCGCACTGCTGCTTTTGTATAACCTCACCATACTTCCCTTGTTATACTATACTTACATTCATATTTTCATCGTTTCATAAAAGTAAGCTATACATATAAGGAGGATCACATTAGTACAAGAAAACTGTAAACCCATACCTGTGGTTTAATTTCTCCGTCCCTGTAATCCGTCTTATTAGTTGTTCCATAGTCAAATAGCATAGCTTCCAATTTTAGAGGACGCTGCGACATTGTTGGTGTTTATTCTACGATTTTATACAAAATTCTTCTTTTTGCTTTGTGGGCCGTGACCTTTTATACAAAATTATCTTCAACTTATGAGATTGATGGCAATCGGTTCGTTCTGAAATAAACTTAAAGGAAATAAATGACTTTCCGAGCCACTGTCAAGCAGAGGAAGACATTGAATAGAACATACGTTACGAGAAAAATTGCAAGCAATAAATACACCATAAAGTAAATTGAAACGTGATAGGACAGTATTTAACGTCAATTGAACTTTTGCCTTCCGCAAGGAAAAAGGAAAAAAAAATTCAGATAAATCAAAAAAGATTAATTACAAAATAACCAAGAAAAAGTTATATCAAGAGAATATCGTAGCAATCATCGTGTCGGTAACACGTTACAGTATACAACTTTATCATAGGCATTCAATATTATTTTTTTAAGTATTATATGCTATATTATACACCATTGCTCGAAGCGGACAATACTGCTCTTAGAAAGTATTCGTATAGCTGAAAATATTTCAGCGCATTTAATATACATTTTTATTATGGCGCATTCTCGTTTTTACATTCATCAAGGCATTTCGTCTAAATCAGGTGTATAATATATTCAATCGTTTTTTCTTTCGAATCACATTATTATTCACAGTTTACTATGGTAACATATATCTACACGGGGCTGCATAATTTTTTGGGTTACGATTATTTTACATTTATTCCCCATATATCATAAAACACGAAACCTAAAAAAGATAAGTGCGTACCGCTGAGTGTACCACCGACAATGCGCTCAAACAAGTCATTCACTTACATTACAATCCTTGTACCTACACCTCCCGCAATCGGTTCCGCACGACCGCGGCAACGGCGGGCAACGCTATTTTCACCTAAGCAATGCTCACATCACAACTTGGCGGCAGAAAGGGGCTTAAATAGTGCTTTGGGGACGTACATAAAAGCTTGGCGGGTCGCAGGTTGAGTATGGTTGGTCTATAATAATTTATTGTGCGACTTTAACGTCATCATATGGAGTTGTCATACTTTTCAACGCGGAATCGACTCAAGGCGACTATGTTTTATCACATTCCTCGTCACCTTCCCGCGGGCGGGACCCAGTCGATAGGTCGTCGATGTGGCTGCTCGTGTTGTCGCAACCGTTGGCGTGTAGACGCAGCCGTTCGAGCGCGTGCCTTATTCCAGCGTGACCATGGTCGAGTTTTTGAAATTTGACTGCCCAGATAAAAGTCACATGGTCGCATGGTCACGCTGGAATAAGCCAAGCAGCATTAACTAGAGCTGTCGTAAAAAAAAGCGATTTGGTCCATTCTCGTATTCTAGTGGCTAAAGCTTTCTGTGAAAAGGTATAAATACATCGATATTATTCCCTCTCTAAATAGTGCGTATAAAATAATAAACATTGGGACATTTATTCAAAATTTATTTAAAATTTACCAATAATAATTCACACAAAGTTTGTAACATCGAAAATATACAAGATAAATTGTAAAAATAAAATTTTTACTTTTATTAAAATAAATATTTATCACAAAAAAATTAATCTAAATACTGTTGAATGGAGATAAACGACGATACGATCAATCAAAAAAACATTATAGAAAATCATAACGGTTCTTTGTCCGAATTGCAACAACCGGCAGCCCTGGGAGTACTTGCAACAATTAACTTGCCTTCCAGCTTTCGCAAATGTCTTCGTGCTATCGTCTTTCGCGCAAATGAACTATAGCGCATTCAAGCTTTCGCGCAACTGACCATTCGCGCAAATGAACTATTGCGCATTTAAGCTTTCGCGCAACCGTCTTCGCGTGATCGGCATTCGCACTCACGTAGTACATCCGTTGGCACAAAGTTAATTATGCTACGGTTACTAAAACTCGCGGCAATGTTAATCGACCTTTATTGAATGTTAAAAATTAAATGAAAATACAAAAACCGTATGACAATTCAAATGAAACAAGTTCGGCTATTTATTCGGTTACGTTCAGTCGATAGTCGATCGATTTATCGACTGCAATCACTAGCTGCAACATTTTTGCGCAATGAACTGTCATTTTACTCCCGTCATCAAAAAAGACAGACTATAGGAATTTTTATAACCTAAAGTTGGTATCAGCTCTATGTGGGAATACCGCACTGATGTTTCATATGACAAATATTTATTTGACTTTTCGATTTCTTGTAGAATACAAACAAATCGACAATTGAATATCGATATAATAATACAAGGGTAGCAACAGCTATACTAGAGCTACAGTTTTAATAGCTTACAAGCAGACATTTACCTAAACTTCTAGTAACACACATAAAATTGATAATACCTCCCTCTGAGATCACGGAACTATTAAAAATAAAAAAAAAACAAAAAATCAAAACAAAATAGTTATACTTTTACTTCTTGTATGGGACAATAATTCCCGGATTTCAGTGGAAGGTATTATACACTCTTGTTTATTAGTTTCTTCAACTTTAGGTAAATATACTCTGTTTATTCTGATCTCTGCTTAAGCTTTGGACCTTCGCCATGTTACGGTCAAAAGCCAAAATTAAATCATTTCATAGTAAAATTGTAGCTTGTAATATGTATATTTATATTTAGGAATTTATAAGATGCTAACAAATAAGGTAAGGTTAATTGTAGAGTCAACAGTTTGCATCAAATTCAATTTGAAAAAACAAAGCCAAAATAACATGTTATCTTCTGCAACTATTGTCGCTTACAAGTCAACCTTTGAAATATGAAAAGTGTGTCCAGTGACAGTTAAAAGATTTCAGAAGGTGATAGCATTGAAAAGGTTTTAATCACGAAATTGTATTGTTGTTAACAGTGTTCGTTTCCCTTCGGTACAATTGGTCTACTTTCCCGATCGGTCCACTTGTTTTTCCCGATTCGTCTATTTCCCATTTCGTCTACTTTCCTGTTTGGTCTACTTTCCCATTTCGTCTACTTTCCCATTTGGTCTACTTTCCCGATTGGTCTACTTTAATGATGCGTCTAATCAGATAATGTCAGTACAGAGTACAAAACAAACGATCTCAAAAGTTCGTGGAATTACCTCTATTTGCAAAGTTTTATTGAAATCAGTTAGGTACCGAAAAGTGCGCGAATCCGGATCCACGCCCTAGTTTGCCACTCTGAGATGGAACATTTGCTTCAAATTTAAATGCACCACTGAGCCCTTCGGTACAAATGGTCTACTTTCCCGATCGGTCCACTTTCACTATTCGTCTACTTTCCCGATCGGTCTACTTGTTTTTCCCGATTCGTCTACTTTCCTGTTTGAGCTACTTTCCCATTTTGTCTACTTTCCCGATCGGTCTACTTTCTCGATAGGTATACTTTAATGATGCGTCTTCTCATGTAATGTCAGTACAAAGTACTAAAAAAACCGACCTCAAAAGTTCGTGGAATTACATCTATTTGCCAAGTTTTATTGAAATCGGTTACCGGAAAGTACGCGAATCCGGATAAACGCCCTAGTTTGCCACCCTTAGAGATGGAATATTTTCTTCAAATTTAAATGCACCACTACTGCCTTTGAAAATTTGCAAAACGATTTTTTTTGTAAAATTTTATTAACTTACATAAAATTTTATTAACTTGCAAGGTGGACTATTTGGACAAGTGGACCGATCGGGAAAGTAGGCGAAATGGGAAATGGACGAATCGGGTAAAACAAGTGGATCGATCGGGAAAATAGATGAATAGTGAAAGTGGACCGATCGGGAAAGTAGACGAAATAGGAAATAGACGAATCGGGAAAGTGGACCATTTGGACAAGTGGACCGATCGGGAAAGTAGACCGATTGTACCGAAGGGGTTTGTTTAGACATTGTTTTCGTAAATATATTAAAAATCTTATTCGACTTATTGCGTTTATCTTCAAAGTGTTATAATGAGGTAAATAATTTGCTCTGAATGTAACCGTACCGAATTCGTTAGCAGCCTGTATATGGGCGAGGTAGTAATACATTTATCTTTTTTATCTTTTCTTTCTTTAAATTGTCCTCTAGTTTTGGCTGCAGATATTTATTACAAATTTCATTTGATCTTGTGACATTTTTTACAGAGATAACGCAGGTTAAATCATATTCAAGCATATACATCGGTATAAATAAATGTGAATATGCGCTTTTACTATTGAACTTAAAATAGCAAATATAATGACATCAGTCGATTTGTAATATTGGCAAAGTAACAATGAATGTCATTTTTAACATCATGTAACAGGATTTTTGTTTCTGGTTTATCAATATCATTTTCTTTTCCCTGCAAAACTTTGTTGTAGTGGTTAGGGCCATAATTGTTTCTGATTCTGATGCGGATTTTATGTATTAAAAAAAACGCGAAAAAATATACATCCATGCCGAATCTATCGATGTGAAAAGGCTTTCTATTTTCGTTAGTATTGTAATAACGTATTATTTTAATGATTCTGTGACATTTATTAACAAAATAATTAATCGGCAAGAAAGCAATCTATCTGGTTGCGGGTCTGGGTGAAGCACGGTGTACTTACAAGTCCTCGTGTTCCACCTGTTAGTAAATACAGTCGTGTGCATGAGTCATCTAATCGAAAATTAAAACCAAAGTTCAGAAATGGTGTACTATATTTACAAAAATAATTAATTCAAAGATTACAACAAATTGTTTATTGAAAATCGATCTGTCTAGCTATCGTTGTGGAATTTTATCAAAGTTATATTTTAAAAACAACAGCTCAGCTTTTTCAGCTGCTTTTTCGGCTTGCAATCTATTTCTGGAAAGTTAATACATTATTCCATCGTGCCTTATAGGTCACGTTACGACTCGAACATCCGAAATGAATATCAGCAACATCCCTGGCCAGGACAACGAAAAGGTGTAATTTGCGTATCATTTAGGAAACGTACAATTTTTTTGTGTTTCTCTTTATTTAACATCGAGTATATAATCAGAAATAGAGACGAAATGGGCCATCCATCACTGGCAACTCATCAGTCAAATAGTACTGATATCACTTTTAAATATCAACTCTCATTTGCACTGAAATCACAAATTAGAAAACTGAAATAGTACAGCGCCAACAACTGACCTGTGTGTACGTCTCTGTATATTCCAAAAATATTCTGTACTTATTGTAATAAAGATAATGTCTAAGTATGGGGGGCTGCTCCATTCGGTGCTGTGCGAAAAACAGCAAAACATCTAACTACAAAACAAATAGAATCACATTTCATCTGTAATTAAATACTAAATTATGTAATTTTTCAATTCTCGTCCGTTATAGCAAAGCTCAAGTTAAACTGATCGATTTGAAGTGAAACAATTGACGACACCTGTCAATTGTTTCGGATTCGGGCCAATCGGAGCGCAGTTGTCACCGTAATGATTTGGCAGAATAGTTTTCAAACAAATTGAATGACATTTCGTCTCTATTTCAGGTTATATACTCGATGTCTGCAATACTTAAAGAGAAATATATCCATTTAAAATAATGTGTAGATATGCGAGATTGTGTAAATACCACTACGTAGTTTTTTTTTATAACATCAAGTGACGCGACGAACAAATCGTGCGCCTGATGGTAAGCTACACGCCTGTTCATAACAGTTACAGTGCCACTCAAAGACTGACATTGCAAAGATCTGAGAGTGACTACCACTGCACCCGTCACCCCGAGACATAAGTTGACAAGTCCCAGTAATTTCACCAGCACCCTTACCCCTCAAAACCTGAACACAGCTCACACTACTGCTTGGCGGCAGAAATACTGAAGGTGGCTGTACTAACCTGGACGAATTCGTAAGAAGTTTTACTGCTACTAAAAAGTAGCTTTGTAAAAGGCAGGTATGTAAATACCCCTGTGACAGCCACAAAAGCAAAATTTTAGGGGATAGCTACTCTATTCTACATACTCACTGCTCAATAAACAGAAACCAATACTGTCAAACCAGAAACAAAACTCTTGAAAATTAGTTACTTATAATCGTTGTCTATTAATTCTCTTTTTAGAGGAGACTTTGGACAGACGTATACGGTTTGATGCATATAGCGAATAAAAAGATAGTAACATAGTCTGAACACGAGATCAAAATTGATTTCTACTTAAGTAAATATAAAAATATTATGTAGATCTCTCTTATAGTACTCATATACCTACAATAAAAGTAGTATTTGGATCACGCAATAAAGAAGTCTTTACTTTTTAGCAAAATGTTCAATTATGTAATAATAAAAGTATAATAATTTTATTTGAAAATTGACTTACGAAGACAGCTGGAGAAAATAGATTTGTTAAGACACAGGAATCGTGCAGTTGCCATTGCAGCGTCTAGATGGCGCCACTAGGATTTGTAATCGATTGTCGACGTATATCACTTGGCTGCCATGTCAAACATTTGTTTTCCTTAATCTCAATATCTGCGCATATTTTGCGTACTCTTACATCCCTAGATCCAGAGTGTAAAGAATGGTGTTCAGAAAACTTAAGAACTCAATAACATCACCCCTCAAAGCTATATCACATTAATTCTGCATTCTTCCTATTTGTGGTTTATTTATTCATAAATAAATAGTTCTTCCTAATCGTGCTTCTTCTACTTACAAAAACAAACAAGTCTATCTTTCGACTTTTCGAAATACCACAATTTTAGAAGTACCTACTAATTAAAAAAATATTTTACCCCTGCGTGATATCCTGCATACTTGACAACGACTAATTATACATAATAATATAAATATTATTGTATTACAACGAATACTCACTCAGGTACACTGATATTGAACTACAATAACTTATAACAATAATTTTACAATCGAAATAATATTTTTGGAAGATCTACAATTTTCTCTATTGGAGTGGACGCGTGCCCATCAGTTAGACTTATATCGGTAATTACAGTCGTACGGTTAATATTGGAAAGCTAAGAAAAATACCTCAACATTTTAAATAAAAAAGCCCTTCCTTAGTATTTTACATAAGTGTTAAATTCAACAAAAAAATTCAAGTCATAGTTAGTAATAGAGGTATTCCATTACTGATGTGTATTTTATAGAAAGTATATTATGTAATTTAAATTGAGTAACACAGATATACAATAATACAAATAATACTAATACTAAAACTCAATAACACAATTTTTACATTAGGGGAAAACGAAAAATTATTTTTATCATTAAGTATCACTAGATTGATTTATGCATAATATTTAACATTTATTAACAATAAAAATATACATACCACAATATATAGTTAATTAATAACTATAAGGACGCGAATTTGTGACACGACAATTGTCTAATAGGATTTAACCACCACGAGATTTAAGGTGTAACAAAAAGGCCCTATTTCATTATGAGACAACAAACAATGGAAAAACATACATGTATTAGTATTTTTTTTTTAAGTTTTGATCGAACCTTTTCGTTACACCCTGTATGGAATCTGCACGTAAATGTATAATTTTAGGTGTCTACAATTAAGTAAAGAATCAGAATAAATAATATGTAATAAGTACACATGCATTTGGTGTAAGAATTTAAGGGTCTTATCGCCCCTTCATAAGGTCATACAAAAGACACATAATTTTGCTAGAATATAGAATAAATAAAGTAATATAAAAAGATTTCGTAATTGCTGTAAAACCATAAGTACTTTTTCTCAAGAATAATTACATTTTGGTCATAGTTATAAGTAATACATTTAAGAATATAATTGAAAATGTTTTATAAGAATATCCTTTTACCGACTTAAAGGCACAAAGAGAAAAGTATACTTAAATCAATGAACGTAGACGTGTCGTAATTGGTATGCGCGAGAGTTGCATGATATTCTAAATTCAGTTTTCGTTCTCGTTGAATGACAGCACTTAACTATAAAGTTCATTGTTGTGCAAACAGATGGCGCCTCTAATACGTTGTACTGTAAACAGTTTGAAATTCAGCCAGCGCCACTTATTGATCATAAATTTAAAGAAAACTAGTTCTAGTCACACATCACAAAATTTCATGTGCATAGTTTAAAAAAGTAGCTGTCCATTTTTCTCATAAGCTGACTAACGCGCGCGAGCGAGATTATAAAAACTTCTCCACACTACGCAATAACGTAACCGCGTAAATATTCACCAAGTTCACATCAATTTTATTTGCTATTAGTGCAAAAAAACGTTTCAATTATATTATTTTTTAAACAACATAAATTAAAATTTTCCCAAAAGTTAATTAAACGCACAACCCCATTGACTTACAATTATATGGACGTCGGGTCCGAGCTAAAGTGTCCTCACTTGTAAGGCGCTAAAATCGTATACAGAGCGCCAAACTCCGCTTTAGTCTTCATTTGTTCGACTGACAGCGCGATACTGCGATGACATTACAATTTAAATTTCGAATAGGTTGACTTGGGACATTTTTTCGTGGTTTTTGTATTAGACCCGTCGTCCACTTATTTGTAAGTCAATGCACAACCCCCAAAATTAGATTAAATTTGACATAAAAACCGATCTACTAAAGTAAAAGGAATGAAAATAACCAATAGACAATACATTAAAAATAAAACCGCTGACATTAATCTATGGCCGTCAAAGATTCGTCAATCTGGAATTTTCAGTTCCGCCCATATAGGAGTGTAGGGGGATGCTGGTCCTCCCCATGACCACCCACGGGGTATAGCGAGGTGACATAGGCCAGATTTGATGGTTCCAGAGCGGCCGTTGAAGTTCGTTTTGTCTATTGTCCCGTTGCAAAGTATTGCGCTCTTTCCCGCTGCTGACGGGTCCACTGTGGTCGGGACTTCTTTGTTGAGAAGAGGAGAACAGGTTTTTAGTGCTGTGAAATATAATTATTTGTATTACTTAAGGAGTCACAATGCAATGATTCTATTATTGATACAAAGAAATAAACCTTTGCTCTGACTCTAGCAGTTGGTAAGAGCAGTAGCCACGGTGAGGCAACAGACACTGGTTCAACTCAAGTGAGATTTGACGTTAATAAGTGTGGTAGTATCTACCTTATGAGTACCAGAGCAACGGCAACCCTACTCGGAAGAACCAGAGCTGAACCAATTTCATCATCATCGTCATCATATCAGCCGAAAGACGTCCACTGCTGAACATAGGCCTCCCACAAAGATTTCCAGACTAGCCGAACGGACGCGGCGTGCATCCATCGATTATCCCACCGCCCTTACCAGGTCATCCGTCCATCTAGTAGGGGGCCGTCGCACTGAACGCCTTCCGGTTTGTGGTTTACATTCGAGAACCTTTCTGCCCCAACGGCCATCAGTTCTACCTATTTTGAAAAGTTAATTTCCCAAATAGGTCCTACCGGGAATCGAATCCGATATCTCCTCATACAGCGGCCACCTTCAGCTACCTAGGTCGTCATCAATAATAAATATTTTAGATAACGATAAACATATACAAACACTATGTTAAAAAAACAAACACAGGTAATAAATAGCTATTCATCTATTCAGTGCCATAGAGCTGGCCACATAAAATCACTTGGAAACAACAAAAATCGTGTCCCAAATCTGTATT